CATTCATTCAATTGTGCATTTGCATGTGCATTTATTCGTTCATTTGCTTGAGCATTAATTTGTGCGTTCATTCATGCTTTCATGTTTGTTTGTGCATTCGTTCATTTTTTTTTCATGCATTCGTTCGATCGTTCAAGAATTTAGTCATTTATGCGTTTGTGCATTCGTTCGTTTGTGAATTTGTAAAGTGTAGGAAGCAAAATATTAGTAATTTTAATTTATTTATTATTATTATTATTTTTTTTTGTAATACAGTTAGTGGTGGAGCCAGAGAGGCAATTGCAGATTAGGAAGGAAAGTGGAGACTAAATAGTTGAGTTTTTAATCGTTTCTTGAAGACAGCGAGTGACTCTGCCGTTCTGATGCAGTTAGGGAGTTCATTCCACCAATAATAACAGATGAATGGGGCAGATTAAATGCGAGAGTTCGGGAAAGTGATTTCTTCCCTCTTTGGGATGGAAACCACGAGGCGACGTTCATTCACAGAACGCAAGTTTCTGGAGGGCACATACATCTGCAGAAGTGAGAGCAGATAAGAAGGAGCAAAGCCAGGAGTCGCTTTGTAAGCAAACATCAGAGCTTTGAATTTGATGCGAGCAGCAACTGGCAGCCAGTGCAAACGGATGAGCAGCGGAGTGACATGTGCTCTTTTAGGTTCATTAAAGACCACTCGTGCTGCTGCGTTCTGAAGCAGATGAAGAGGTTTGATAGAGTTAGCTGGAAGCCCGGCTAGTAGAGAGTTGCAATAGTCCAGTCTGGAGAGAACAAGAGCTTGAACAGGGAGTTGAGCTGCATGTTTAGATAAGAAGGGTCGGATCTTTCTGATGTTATAGAGTGCGAATCTGCAAGATCGAGCAGTTCTAGAGATGTGGTCAGAGAAGTTTAGTTGGTCATCAATCGTTACTCCAAGACTTTTTACCGTTTTGGATGCAGTAATGGTTGCCCCATCCATCTAGATTGAAAAATTATGATGTAGAGTCGGGTTGGCAGAAAAGTTTAATGGTGAGATGAACACATTTCTAAACATAATAGTTTTAATAACTCGTATCTAATAACTGATTTGTTTTATGACAGCACATAATATTTGACCTGATGTTTTTTAAGATACTAGTATTCAGTTTAAAGTGACATTTAAAGGCTTAACTTGGTTAACAAGGGTAACGTTAGAGTAATTATGCAAGCCATTGAATAACAGTGGTTTGTTCTGGAGACAATCCAAAACAAATATTGCTTAAGAGGGCTAATAATATTGACCTTAAAATAATTAAACTGCTTTTATTCTAGCTGAAACAAAACAAATAAGACTTTCTCCAGAAGAAAAAAATATTATAGGAAATACTGTGAAAAATTCCTGAATCTGTTCAACATAATTTGGGAAATATTTGAAAGAAATAATTCATGGGACATTTATTGTAATTTCTCAATATTGACTGATGTGTATTATTTAAATGGTTTTCATTGGGGTTTATTGCATTGCAGAGGGAACTTTTGGCCTTAAATTGGAAGGGAAACTGTCTGGTCAGTCTGGCCAGTCCAGCCGTGTAGACATCAACAATTCCCACAACTCCAGCGGTGAGTGACACGGAAATCTCTCTGATCTTTCACCTTTGATATGCTTCATATGGGTGGTTGTGTAGCCTTTTTCTTGTTAATGTAATTGTGGATGTGTCTCTAAAGGGCACATATTCAACTTTTTTTTTTATTTGCTTGTTAGTTTTTCTCCAAATTTCTTTTTTCTGTGATGCATTTTAACACTTTATCTATATACAAACCGCTTTATGACCTGTTTATAACCTGTTTGTATGTAAATTTCATAGGACTGTTTATTCTGGTTATGTGTTTCAGTTCAATCCAGGATAGTGTGTGCTGCTCTATTATTCATTTACATTACATTGTTTACAAACTCTTTAAACAATATGCACAGAAATGTGCCATTAAAATCAAAACACAGCACACCATTTGACTGAATAGTCCCTTATTTTCATCTGGAATTCAGGAAAGTATTATCATTTTTTTTACTTTTTTTTTTTATTTAAACATGAGCTTGAAGTGTTGAGACACGAGGGTCAGAGTAAATGGGTTTGATCAAAGCTGAAACGGCCTTCAGTATTTTAGCTTGTGAGTGCACTACAGCAGAGAATAACACACCCAAACACAGAAACAAGAGCCTGTTCCCACTCCATATACATTTTTATTTTTGTTCCAATCGCAAATTGAAGACTTAAAGCAACACACACAAATACCGGTAGAACTCAAGTAGACTTTTCCACTTTGCTACAGAAGGGACAGCAAGGGTCAGTGTCATCCCTTTATTTTTGCTTTTTACATTTTGTATCTAAATTAAAATATTCTAACCATGCCAAGCCTGATATTCAGAAACAAAATAACATTTTTAAAGTGATACACTACATTTGAATGGCTCAAAAATATGACGTAGCCACAATATGGAGCTCGTACTTATTGTAAAAACCTAAACCGAACATAGTTGACTTCATTATTATTAGACGTGATTTTTAAAAATACTTTTCACTTGTTGTTTAATGGAGAAAAGATTGTAATTGAACTGAAATTATGCAATTTAGTGGATATGCAAATATTTATGTGTTCAAAGTCACAATAACCTCTGTGAAATCCTAATAAAAGTGTGATGAATATGTATATATACATATATAAATATGTAACTACATCCCTACCCACCAGTGATGATATACAGCCATATTGCACTGCTACTCATGTGATATTGCGTTTATACAACAGTTCGACAGCATAATCGTGTATATAAAAAGAAAATCAAACACTGAGAGCCTAAAAACCCTTTTGTATGAGGAACTACTTTCTTCCGCCATTCATTCACATCTGCAGCTGACATCAGAACAGCAGAAACCGCTGCTCGTTCACCAACGTCACTTTAGAACTAGTGTTTGAATGATTCTCTAGTGTAATGTCTAAAGTGGAGACAAATCAGCTGATTTTGTTCACATTTGAATATTATAAGGCTGAACAGCATGAAATGCCATCAGTCTGTAGAGATTTCCCAGTATTTCTCTGTTAAAATCATTGGATCACAAGAATTAACTCCGAAAATGCCAAATCAAAGCAAACACTAGCAGATTACTATGATATAAATGCAGCACCACAACATAAGATCACTGTTTATAATGATTTGATCATCGGTAGTTTGAAATTTATGACGTTTTTTTTCACCCCCAAGGACTTATTATGCACTCTCTATGGTAGTCTTGATATAAATATTTAAAATAGGCACTATCCTTCTAAATAAACTGCATAGTTGCACTTTAAACAACTACATTCTCTCATAAAACGCCTCAAAAGTACATGATGTTGTCCAACAGCTGCACTATTTGTCAAACTGTAGTTTATTGATCTGCTGTCACTGTATGTGGGCGGAGTAATACATAAGGCTCATAGGCTGTACGAGTGCTGATATTCCAGAATATCACACGGCTATCAGCCAATCAGATTCCAGAACCAGACAGAACTATCCGTGCATTGCTTTATTAGTTTATCATTAAGTCTAGTTTTGATAACTGAGGCCTAAATTTGTGCATCAAATATAATATAGGGTTAAGTGCAACATTAGTGGCCTACATTTGCGGCTTTTGTATAAATTTCAGAATTCTAGTGCTGTGCATGTGAATGTAACTCCACTTATCATTAAAGAAAAAATGAATAATTTGTCTTTCAGATACTCCAAACAGCCGGACTTACACATCCCTCCCCAGCCCTCAGAGTATGTATAGTGAAAACCACACACACACACCTTTTCACTTTCACTTGATATCACGTTCCATATACTCCATCTCTTTTATTTCTTTATTTTTTTAACTTCTGTAAATCATGAATGACTTCACTCATGCCCATTTTTTTTTGTGCCATTTGCATGGCTTGCAAACCTGACGTTTAAAATCAAATACATTTAAATAGCCTGACCCAGATTAGCTAGCTGTATGTAGTGCTCTGATGTGAGGCTATAGCCGGTTTCGCTCTGTTGTAAGAACATTGCTGTGTTCTGAGAGAAACTGGACGTTGTGTTCCAGAAACCTACACGTGTGGAGCCTGTGGAATTCAGTTCCAGTTCTACAACAACCTCCTGGAGCACATGCAGTCCCATGCTGGTGAGTGAGCCCAGAAAATGATGACATTTTCAGCCGTGAGCTCATCCAAAAGTCGGACTCGCTCTGTTTTGCTTGCATTAATTCTGTGCATCACCACTTGGGTTACAGTTTAATGCAAACGGCACATTCTTTGTTTTTACAGACCACATCATGTGAGCGCTGCATATCGTAGTTATTTTCCATCTTGTGCTTTTATTTTTTCACTTCGTCTTCTCGGTTAACATTTTTACTCATCACTTAGTCATAGACGTGCATTGAAATCGACGCCTCCACGATTCCATAAAAACTCCAGCGAACTCGATTGCCTGTCATTCATTTGTTTACGATGTTGACATTTTACCCCTTTTGTTTGACAGGATTCCCTCTGTTATCAAAACTTTGCAAGGAATAGTTCAAAATTTTCATTTACTCGCTCTTATGCCACAGCAACCACTTATTTTGCATAACTCTTATATTAAAATATAGATATTGTGAGCTATAGAGAGTTTACACAAATTGTTTGCTATTTTTGATGCAATTGTGTATGCATTAATTGATTTAAAGGTTTAAATTATCATTTAAACAAGTGTACACTACCTGACAAAAGTCATGGATCCCAGTTGTAAGAGCAACAAATAATAACTTGACTTCTAGTTGATCATTTGGAAAAGTGTTGAAGGTGGATTTCTCTGATGAATCATCTGTTGATCTGCATCCCAATCATCACCAATACTGCAGAAGAACTACTGGAACCAGTGTAGAGCCAATCTTTTTATAGAAATCAGTCAAGTTTGGTGAAGGAAGAATCATGGTTTGGGGTTACATTCAGTATGGGGGCGTGCGAGAGATCTGCAGAGTGGATGATCAACATCAACAGCCTGAGGTATCAAGACATTTGTGCTGCCCATTATATTACAAACCACAGGAGAGGGACAATTCTCCAGCAGGATAGCGCTCCTTCTCATACTTCAGCCTCCACATCAAAGCTCCTGATAGCAAAGAAGGTGCAGGATTGGCCAGCCCAGTCACCAGACATGAACATTATTGAGCATGTCTGGGGTAAGATGTAGGAGGAGGTGTTGAAGATGAATCCAAAGGATCTTGATGAACTGGAAGTTCTGCTGAACGCTTTCTCTGCCATTCCAGATGACTTTATTAATCAGTGATTTGAGTCATGTCAGAGATGTATGGATGCAGTCCTCCAAGCTCATGATGGAGTCAGACACAATATTCATTCTGTCTCCACTGCAGCAGGACTTTATATTCTATACTGGACATTATTTCTGTTCAGTGACCAGACTTTAGTCTAAGCAGAGTCAGACCTTACTGTCCTAATCAAACCATTCAAAATCAAGGCATGATCATATTTAATTATGGTCAATTAAGCGTAATCTAGAGGCCTTTACCTTTTATATAAGCCACTTCTGATACCAAATGATCAACTAGAAGTCAGGTTATTATTTGCTGTTTCTAAAACTTGGATAGGTGACAAGACTTTTGTCAGGTAGTTTAGCAAATTTTTGTATCTTTAATAATTGGTCTTTACAGTTCACAAAAAACTGAACTTTGTACTTTTTTTGTAGATCTTAAAAGATCGTCAATTTTAAGTTGTTTTTTACATCTGCATTTGTCTTGTTGGGTTTCATTTAATACATCTACTTTCTTTTGCCCCAAAACATAATGTGTTGTCATTCTTTTCTTCTGTTTTAATCTTCTTTTAGCTGATAACGAGAACCATGTTAAAGAAGACTCTCCCAAACCCTGCCCAGCGCCGGCGGGCACACAGGAGCAGTTGTGGAAGTCTCCACAGCCGGCACAGCAAAGGAACCACATGCCATCTTTCCGTGAGTTATTTCATTCCAGCATTACTAAAATCCAGTTAGTCTAAATTATTTCTTTTTTAATCTGTTATATTAGAATTATGCATAATAATAATAATAATAATAATAATAAAAAGTAATAATATTAATGTAATTAATAATGATTTGGAGGGTATTTTGAGCTGAAACATTATGCTGCGTTTACACCAGACACGGAACGCACGTCAAGCGTGAGTGATTTACATGTTAAGTCAATGCAAACGCGTAAATAGACATCCTGCGGCAAGATCTGTACGAATGGCGCGGCGCGAATGACGGGAATTGCGCTAATAGTGTGTTACGAACGGTGCTATACGCGCGAATGGCGCAGCGCGAATTGAGCATTTTTTGTGCGTTTGATGCGCCTTTCATGCGAATCGCTCGACTTCGAAAATCTTAACTTCAGCGGACATTCGCGCCGCGTTAACCAATCAGGAGCTTGCTCTTGTGGGGGCGTGATTGTGACATATCGCCTGTTGTTGGAGTACCGGGGGAAATCCTCCAGCCAACACCGACAACCGTTCATCGAACTGGGCTTGGCTCAGTCAGAAGCATCGCTGAAAATCTTCGTCAGCCAGGTTAAGTTTCTGGAGGAGTTTATGAGCTAACAGACCTGGATGCAACTCTGAAAGGATGTAGTGGACTCAGACACGGCCCTAAACTTATTGACGCTGTTTTTCAGTCTTCATAAAGCACATAAACACTGTTATTTTCTTCATAAAATTCTTGTTAGCCATTTCGCTATGAAGCTAGAGTCACCGGGCAGACAGAAGCCCTGCCCATCACGCAAATCCGTGTCTGTTCTGAAGCGGATTTGACGAATGAAGCGTCTGGTGTGAACACAGCATTAGAGAGACATTCTGGAGGCACCAGAGACTTCAATTACATGTTATAAAAAGTAGCATCATATGACCCCTTTACTAATTTGGGAATCATGGTTGACTTCTTTACTCTTATTATCTTAAGATTCTGTAGTTTCAAGAATTGCACATTTGATCAAAGGCAAAAATATCACACGTGTCCCGTCAAGGTAAACTGTGTGTATGTGCATTCGAGTTATTCACAAGACATATAAAGAAGACATGTGTGGCTTTTGTTTAATGATATAAAATGCAACCCTTGAAGCACAGAAAACGTGTAACCAAATGAACTTGTTCTGCTTTTGCAGAGAACAGATTACTCCCAGAAAAGGAGAGGCAACAAGTGGCAGAGCGTTTGCTGCGAGTGATGTGTGTCGACCTCGGCCTTCTCGGTGTTCTCAGCAGCAAAGACTTCCTGAAGCTGGCGCAGACGCTGGTGGACACGGGATCCCGCAATGGAGCCTACTCCATACGGGAAGCTCTGGGAGATATGAGCTCACTGGCTTTAAAACAGCTCCCTCGCATGTACAATCAGGTCAAAGTGAAGGTCACCTGCGCCCTAGGCTCCAATTCCTCCTTGGGCATTGCAGTGACCTGCCACTCGCAGACTGTTGGTCCAGACTCCTGCTATTTGCTAACAGCCTATCAAGTCGAGGGTGTGCGACTCCGTCGCTATGTGCTAGGACTCAAGGAGGCCTCATTAAGGGAAAGTCCTGAGCAGATTCACCACTGGGTCCAGAATGTTCTCTCAGAGTTTGTCATGTCTGAAATCCGCACCGTCTACGTCACAGAACCACGCTTGTCTTCGCTGACCTTCTGTGGTCGCACAGGAATCTGCCTCCGCTGCGCAGGTTGTTCTCTTACAGCCACGGTTCAAGCTGTTCTCGGGCGCCGCAGCCTGCAAGCACGAGGCCTTCACGAATTAGGGGAGCTTCTGGCTACCTGTCGCGACATTGCAGCAACGACCAGCTTCAATCATGAAGGAAAAACTGCAGAAGATCCTGCTGCTCCACCATGCTGGGATGCAGTCGCCGAGGCCTTGTTGAAGGTTCACGAGAACTTCGAAGCCACCTGTGAAGCGTACGGCCGCTCGAAGAGCACCGTTCCTCTTCTGCAGGGTCTGAACAAGCACCTTCTGGGCACACTGGCGTGTTTGCTGGCGCCGCTGAGACAGGCAGCGCTGGAGCTAAGTTTGGAACGCTGCCCCACACTCCAGAACGTCCTTCCCGTCTACCTCCGTCTCGAAAAACTGTTCACCTCCAAAGCCGGCGAAGCGGGTGCTGGTAGCAAGCTCTGCCATTACTTCCTGGAAGCCCTGAAGGAGAACTTCAAGGTGGAGCGAGTTCATCAGGTGGCCATGATCCTGGACCCCCAGCTGAAGCTGCGTCCCGTTCCTGCATACCAACACGAGGAGATCATCTCACGGGTGTGTGATATGGCTGCTAGTATGCGGGATTTAGGAAGCGGCGGGTCTGCAGGAGCATCTGTGGACGAGCGGGATGGCGAGGGGCCATCGGCCCCCAAGCGAGGTCGTTTGGACTGCGGATTGGACAGGCCATCATGTGACGCTGAGGAACCGCAAGTACGAAAAGAGCTGTTCCAGTACCTCGGAGAACCGCTCTTCAGCGGCACAGGTGATCTGCTGCAGTACTGGAGCTCGGTCATGGACAGGTACCCGCGGCTGTCCCGGTTAGCGCTGTGGTTGTTGGCTGTGCCCGCAGTGGCTGTGCACGGGGAGTGCATGAGCATCTGCGAGCAGACCTTAGCCATGAAGAGGAAGCAGCAGGTCACCGCGGAGGAGATGAACAAACTGGTCTTCCTCAAGAGTAATTTCGCTTGAGACGGCTCAGGGCTTTCATGGCACCATAGACTGTTTGAATTAGGGACTTTTTGAAGCAGTACCGGTCACTTCTCTATACCCCTTCCAAAAATTCAGTTTTACCGTAAGTGTCTATCAAGCGAGGCACGGGATTTACAAAGGAAAGGTGCATTGACAACTAATCCACAAACACCCCTTCAGACCACATCTCGGCATTTGGGAACGGCAACAGTGCAACTCGATTGGGGGAAAAAAGATGCAGTCGGCTCGAGGACACGGATGTAAACTTCGATGTTTCAGTTGAACTACCGCTTAAAAATTTGTGATGTGTTTTAATCAGTATGTGGTTCATCCATCCCTCTTCTCTTTCTGTGGATCCCATCTTAAAATGAAGTCAGTGGATTCTTGAAATTACAGACGACATCCTGTCCATCTAGCGAAGGAATCAAACGGGGTACTTAGAAAAGCCATTTCTTTTGCAATTGCGCCTTTATGAAAACCACACAAACACTCTTTGCTGTGACAGGTGAAGGATACCTCTCTCTAGCGGTTTCTCAGCGGTGTAAGTCTCAGACGGGCCCTGGTTTGAGTAATCTCAGTTAACCGGTTTGAGTGCGTTAAGCTCTTGTTCGGACTCAGGAGTTTAAGGCCAGCAGAACTCGTATTTAAACTTGGGTCTCTCTCACACACACACAAACACACAAGTAAATGGTTTTACAGTTATTTATTTGACCTTTTTTTATCAGTTCTCACAATAACGTTGCAATAAATGTCACGTAGCAGAAGTTATACTCTCAAGCTAACTTTGATGCCTTGCACCTTTTGTAGCAGCCTTTTTGTTTTCGTTACAGCTCACTGGGATCATTTCCTCCTACAATACAGTCTGCAATACCTGAAACAGCCACTTGAAACCCTGAGATTGGATGCCCAATTCTATTGGGTTGCGGAGGTATATAGGAATGACGTGATGAGTTGTGGTTCCAGTGGATCTGATTTTCTTTTTCCTTTCCTTTCTCCTGATCTTGTTTCTGAAATGTGGGAATAGGGCTATGAAACGCAGAAACTGACTGTCTCGCACTGTCTCAGTACAAACCTCTTTGAACAGAGGCAGCTAACTGCATTATCGTTCGAATGCATTTTTAAGAGGATAAAGCTACACATCTTTCATTATTTATGCACTGGATTTCTCTCATGGTTATGTTCCTCATTTATCCGCAGCAGGTGATTAGATTAGCGGCAACATTAACTAGAGAAAACGTCGCCTAGATTAGGACCAAAGTATCTTTTAAAGCGTAGTTCGTCATTGTGAATAATTGCCATTGCCAAACAGGTTTGTAGTTTTTAATCTCACAGCGTTCATGCTTCCTCATAACCGTTTCGCCCTCGCAAATTTCCACTGCCTTTGAGAAAACCGTTTTTATTTTCTAAACAATTCTACTACACCAACGGTCGTAACGATTTTCACTTCCATGCTAAAAATAAGCGATCTTCAAGAGTATTTTGCAGTAGTTTTTCCAAGGAAAGATGTGATTTAGTATTCTATAGTTTGTCTTGTAATGCCTTGAACATCTTTGTGTGATTATACAGATTATGCATGCAGACAATATAAGATTTTTCTTTTTTTAATCTTTAATAAAGTGGCAGAGATCTACATTCACACAACGGCAGAATACAGTCGTCGGTTCTGTTTTGAATGCTAAATAAGGTTCATGCTCATGAGTGACAACTACTCTAATGGTTAACTCTTAAACGTGCTGCAGTCACCACTTGATTTTGAGAGTTAAATGTGCTGCGGGAACACGAGTTGTCTATCGAATCACTGAAATGGGTTCAGCGTGAGGCGTGCGCTTCAGGTTGTCGACCTCTCAGGTTATATAAAACGGTGGCATCGCTTTTATCGGGACAGAAAGTGTGTAGGAAATAGTAACTTCAGGGACTAACTACTCCTCTGCTGTTGTAGGAAAACTCGAGTCACACTTCGTTCGTAAATACGGTTGTTAATCCTAAACACTGAATTTTGGATTGTGTAATGTTTGACCACGATGACCGAAGTGCATTTTATTTGCGTCTCTTGATTGCGAAGGACGATGACAACAGTTTAAACCTCTATTTGGTGTCTTACCAAAGATTAGTGACCAAAGACGCATCGTATTGTGCAATTCAATTCAATTAAACCACCACTGATAGAGGCGCTAGGGGTTTTCTTAGTGCTTTTAATTGCCACTGCCTGGGTGTAATAATATATTTAGTCTTTTTAGATCTTCTGTTCAGTGTTTACACCTGATATTAACAAGTTAAATTTGTCTGTTACAACCTGTTTAGGACTCATCATACTTATTAGCTGTATTTTATTACCGTCTACCCCTACAAATACCCTAAATCTACACAGTGATGAATAAACGTTAATTATAACGTGAATGATTTACATTATTTATTGCATTTTCCAATAAATTGTAATTTATTAGCATCTATCTAACCCTAAACCTACCCCTCACAATAATGTAAAAACAGCAGTTATAATTATATTTATTTAATAATAATTATTTATATAAATAATTTATATAATTATTTATATAATAATTGATAATTGGCTAAATTATTGGCTAAATGGCTAAATTATTTATATAATTATTGATAATTATTTATATTATTTATTAAATTAACCGTTAATTGTATTTTATAAATCCTAAACCTACCCCTCACAGTGATGTAAAAATGTTAATTATAATGAGAATTATTATGGTGGCTTGAGAAAGCGACATACTGTTATACTGTAGAAACGTATTATTCTTCCATCTTCTTTTTAGACTATTTTAAGAACACAACTCCTCCGAGACTGTTCATACTGCAACCACCAAACTAACTCCAAACCTCCTACAATATACTGAATTATGTTGCTATATCTTTTCCAACTGATCCGACTAACGGATTTCCGAGAACTGACCTGGAAAAATTTGAAAAATCCCATTGGCTTAACATTGGAGCAAACTTTGTGACCTCATAACTTTGCGCCAGACTGTCGTACAGACTTACGGTTGGGCTCATTTAACTCAGACTACAGATCTGCCAATCAATGATGACCTTTCATTTTACTAGCCTCAACCTAGCAACCACTTACAGCACCTTAGCAACTTTCCTATAATATATTTAATGTACAATATACAGTAATTTTCACAATGCAACTTTAAAATACAGTAACATACAGCAAAACTGTTCTACTGTCAAATGCAGTTCATATTACATTTAAATACTGTCTCATTTGCATAAATTAAGTGTAGTTGTGCAGTAACCTACTGTAAGTCAATAACAGCAGAAATACTGTATTTACATTTACAGCACCGTTTATCTTGCAGTATTGTATCTTTGCTGTAAAATAAACAGTAATTTTCACAATTCAACTTTAAGGTACAGTAACATACCGCATAATTGTCCTACTGTAAAATACAGTTCATACACAGTTAAATCCTGTCATTTACAAAATTAAGTGTAGTTAAGTGCGGTAACCTACTGTAAATCAATTACAGCAGAAATACTGTTTACATTATATGCATTTGTAGTATTGTATGTGCTGTGAAATATACAGTAATTTTCACAATTATGCAACTTTAAAATACAGTAGCATACTGCACAACTTTCCTACAGTAAAGTACAGTTCATAATACAGTTAAATACTGTCATTTACATAATTTAAGTGTAGTTTGTAGTGCAGAGTCTGCCAGTAACTTGCTGTTAATCAATTACAGCAACTATACTGTATTTTCATTTACAGCACCATTTATTTTACTGTATATGTATTTGCTGTATTGCATTTTTAATGTAAAATATACAATAAGTTTCACAATAATGCATCTTTAAAATACAGTAACATGCCGCATAATTGTCCTACAGTAAAATACAGTTCATATTACAGTTAAATACTGTCATTTACAAAATGAAGTGTGGTTAAGTGCAGTAACCTACTGTAAGTGAAGTTTGCAGTGCAGCGTTCGTCATTAACTCACTGTAAATCAGTCACAGCAAAAATACTGTATTTACATTGACAGCACTGTTTGTCTTGCTGTATATGCATTTGCAGTATTGTATCTTTGCTTTAAAATAAACAGTCATTTTCACAATGCTACTTTAAAATACAGTAGCATACCGCATAATAGTCCTACAGTAAAATACAGTCCGTATTACAGTTAAATACTGTCATTTACAAAATAAAGTGTGGTTAAGTGCATCAACCTACTGTAAATCAATTACAGCAACAATGCTGTTTTTTCTTTTACAGCACCATTTATTTTACTGTATATGTATTTGCTGTATTGCAGTAAGTTTCACAATGATGCAACTTTAAAATACAGTAATACACCGCATAACGGCTGTCCTACAATGAATAACAGTTCACATTAGTTAAATACTGTGTCATTTACAAACTTAAATGTAGTTTGTAGTGCAGCGTTCGTCAGTAACTTACTGTAAATCAGTCACAGCAAAAATACTGTATTTACATTTACAGCACTGTTTATCTTGCTGTATATGCATTTGCAGCATTGTATCTTTGCTGTAAAATAAATAGTAATTTTCACAATGCAACTTTGAAATACAGTAATATACCGCATAATTGTCCTACAGTAAAATACAGTCCGTATTACAGTTAAATACTGTGTAATCTACAAAAATCATTAACAGTGTATGAAGATTTCCATTTATTTCCTCCTCTTAGCAACTAAAGTAAATTTGATGCACAATTCCGAGCACCATTCTTGTTATTAAGATAGTAAATATGCAGTTTAGCTCATTATAATAATTTTTATCAACCCAAAAACAAGCCCTCATTTTAGGAAAAACAACCGTATTTCGCTCCAGTGTGAACTCCTGAGTTGGGATGAAGATCACATACAGAACTGATCTGAAGAGCAAAATTCCAGGGACGCATGTTGATCGGCCTAGGTATTATCTCACATAGCCCGAAAACACAGATGAAGAGGCTAGCATGTGCTGAAATGTTCATATGTAAAAACCACTTTGATAACCCTGACCCAGAAATAGAAAAAGCAGCTGCTGTTGAATTTTTTGCCGTCTTTTCTCTGTAACCACAAGAGGGCAGAAGTGTCTCAGAAATCTGTCTTTGCAAAGAGTCTCCGAACATCTTACCTCTGTTTTCTAATCAAGCATTTCAACTATTTTGATAAACTCAGTCTATAACTATCTCAGACTTCATGAAGGTTTTGTTTTCTTTCTGACTGTCTCCTTTATTAGTTTATGTTCTGGACGAATGTGTACTTTCCTGGAGAAACGTGAAAACTGGTTTAAAATGCTCTTGGGCAGCAGTTTGTGTTGACGGATAACCAATCTCTGAAAGTATTAAACACTGTTTTAATCACAGCTATTTATGGATGTACAACAGTTACTGATATCACTCGTTCTGTTTGTTTGAGAAGGATTTGTTTTCCCCGTTATAGTCAGCCCACATTTGTCTTTGACAGGCATTTTTTTTTTCCTCCTCCTGATTTTGTGTGTTGAGTTGTTTCAGCTGTAGGTCTAATTTATACTTTTTTAACAACACTATTTTTCTAAACATGACTGATAGAGTTTTTCTCTCCTTATCGACTGTCAGTAGTTACACTGCGCTGTTCTCAGAACCTATCTACTCCTGTAGTATGTGCTGTGTGAATAAAATATCCTCAAACAAGCAACATCCGGGGACTCCCTTTTGGTTGTTTTTACTTTCACAAGATCAACCCGTCACTCGTACAAGTTCCACAAATCCAGTCTATTGTTTACGGAAAAATCAAATCCAGTCCTAATTTTCCTTAAAGGAACACTCCACCTTCTTTAATGAAAATAGGCTCATTTTAGAAGTCATATAGAGTTTAATTGTAGAGTTCTACTTTTTTTTTTTATCCATTTGGCTGATCTCTGGGTCTGGCAGAGGCAGATTTAGCTTAGCTTAGCATAAATCATTAAATCAGATTAGACCATTAGCATTTGATTATTTTCTATGGCTCTCTTTTATTTTTGAAAGTTTGCTAATTTTAGAAGTCACCTACTGCTAAATAGTAGAGTTTTACCATTTTTTTAATCCATCTGGCTGATCTCTGGGTCTGGGGGTTGCACATTTAGCTTAGCTTAGCATAAATCATGGAATTGGATTAGATCATTAGCATCTCACTCAAAAATTCAAAGAGTTTTAATTATTTTCTATGGCTTTTTTTTTTTTGAAAATAGGCTCATTTTAGAAGTCATCTACAATAGTAGAGTTCTACCTTTTTAAAAAAAAAATTCATTTGGCTGATCTCTGGGTCTGGCAGAGGCACATTTAGCTTAGCTTAGCATAAATCACTAAATCTGATTAGACCATTAGCATTTGATTTTATTATTTTCTATGGCTCTTTTTTTTTTTTTTTTTTTTTGAACAAGGCTCATTTAAGAAGTCATCTAGAGGTAAATAGTAGAGTTTTACCATTTTTTTTTTTTTTCATTTGGGTGATCTCCGGGTCCGGTGGGAGCACATTTAGCTTCGCTTAGCATAAATAATTGAAATGGATTAGACCATTAGCATCTCACTCAAAAAAAATCAAAGAGTTTCAATTATTTTATATGGCTTTTTTTGAAAAATATGCTCATTTTAGAAGTGATCTAGAGTTAAATAGTAGAGTTTTACCATTTTTTTTTTTTTTTC